TAAGTACTTGGTTCAGTGTTTACAATTTTAGCTTTTCTTAGATTCTAGGTACTTCTTTTTAGGTTTAGCTTGGCATTGTGGTCTTGATATTGTTGCTAAATTTAAGATCAGAGAAAACTTCCCTTGTTGATTTCTGTGTGCTTGTTAGGTTAACCAATTACTAGCATGCTTTTAATCCATTCCAGAAATGTAAACATTTATAATAGCCTATGAATCAGCTTTACAAGGAACTACTTCACCAACAAAACCAAACCAAATGTAACCTGCAGACTTTTGAAAAGACATCCATTATTTCAATAATCTTTGCAGCAGCCTTGTAAAGTAGGGCCATGTGAATGAAGCAGGGCCAGAGCTGAGAGATGATGCAAGTTGTGGCCTGGAGGAAGCCACCCGCTCTCAGCCCAACCACCCGCTCTCAGCCTCTTGCTGCCACCCTCCTTCCTCTCTCAAGCGTTCCCCCCGTCAGCATCTTCTATGGAGAGCCACACAGCTGAAGAAGCAGTCTCCCAGGTTGCCAAGCAGCTCACCCAAGTCTCATAAATCCTTGCAAATCCCACAACCATTTCTTCTGGCCATGGGACTCCAGGAGGAGTAACAGAGGGCAGGTGTCGCTCCAGAGAGTCCCATTGGCCACTGACTTGCTGTGGCAAATGCCATGGAGGAAGAACAGGTGGGGGGTTCTCCAGTGGAGGCATGTCCAGGCTGCAGAGCACAAGTCAGCCTTTTGCCTGCTCCATGGCTCATGAATCTCACCCTGCTTCATGAGTGCACTGGCCCTGAGAAAGTTAACGAGAACACTTTCTCTCTCTCTCTTTCTCATATAGCACTAAAACCCTGAGATATCTAGTTAAGCTGAGTGGTAAGAGATCTGGGACAGAGAAAAGACAGCACTGCCGCATAGAGAGCATGCTTAACTTTTGGAACTCACTGCCACAAGACGTTGTGATGTCCACCAATGCAGAACAGCTTTAAAAGAAATTAGACAAACAAATGCATGGAGGACAAAACGCCATGGAGTCACGATGACTACATATTCCAGAATCTGAAGCACTATGCTTATGTATGTCAGTTGCTGGGAAACACAAACAGGATTGTGGGAAGCAGAATGATGGACTGTGGGAGCCTTCAGCAGGGCTCTTCTTGCGCTTTTATTCCTTTTGCCCTGAAAATAAGCCCCTAGGAAACATTTAGACTGGTGACCTGGCAACCTTGATGCCTGAATCAGCCCAATTGTAAATCTGTTTCAGATTTACTATAGTACTTTTCACATGCAAGTAATCTTAGAACACAAATTTCAGTCTGGGGGTAGGGGTGGAAATAAAAAATAGGACAGTAAAAAGGAGAAGCAAAAAAGTTTCAGTTGACCTTAGGAAATTCAGAGGGTAGATAGAAGAAATGGGTCTGCTATTGTGTCAAGGCAATTAGAAATATGCATGACTAGACACAAAGATGTGCTGCATGAATGCCTAGGTAATAGGTTTGCAGGATCAACAGGTTCCACCAAATTGCAGATCAACTGGTGCTTAATCCCTGGATAGGATTAACTGATTAATAAAGTTTATACCTCATCTTTCCACTGCAGTCACAAGTAGCTCCATGGTGGTTTTATGGATGTCAGTTGCTGGCAATCCTTTCTGTTGGGAAAGGCTGGATCCCAAGTGAGTCATGCTTTTTGGCCACTGTCAAATGCTTCTTTTAAAATATAGGCATGAATAAAGGGTTGATATTCTTAAAAGCAATTATGTGTGAACAGTTTTGTAAGAGAGAGAGAGAGAGTTTGCAATCAGATAGCCTGGATGCTTTCCACCTTGAGCAGAACATCTGACTTGCAGTATAAATCCCTGAGTCACACTTCCAGTGAGTTCCTGGGATAATGGAATTTTTATGACAAGATATTTCAGGACCACTATTCATGGTGGGTGTGAAAAGATGTGGAATTCCCCTCTCCTAGACATTCACTAGATAGCAGCCTCCTTGCTGGCCCCCACCCCACCCCACCCCACCTCATCCCTCAAGAATCCATGCTTCCTTCTCTTTAAAGAATGGAAGAATTATCTTTCTGGATCAACCTACTTGTATTCTTCAGGGGTGTTGAATCTCTCTCAGCCTGAGAGCTGAATTCAATTTTGGAGAATCTCTTGGGGACTGCAGTCCAGTGGTGGTGGTGTGAGGACAAAGGAAAAGAGCGTGAGGCCAGAGGAAACAAAAATGGCAGCCTATTTTAGCTTAAAGCTCTTGCGGCCTTATGCAAAGCATTTCAACCTTTTAGAATGGGGGGAAATGGCACACAGTCAGGAAACTGTCAAACCATCAGCGGCTGGAGTAAAGAGGAAGGGGCCAAAGGAAGGGATGTGGCCTTCTGTGGAATCCTGAAGAGCCAGCCTGGGATCCCAGATTTGGTCCACGTGGCTGAGGTGCAAAATCTAATTCAGCAGGAAGCAAGCCAGATGAGTCACATGGAACTGAAAACTTTGCCTTGTCATTTGTCCCCGGGTTCTGGGGTTGCTGTATACTGCTGCTGAAGATGAAGGCTCCATATAGCTGTCAAAGCCACATCCCTGGATGCATTCATCCTCCTTGAATTTGGTTGCAAGTCAGGTCCCATGAAACACAATGGGACTTGTGTTCTGAGTGTGCATAGAACTGATTGTTTGGTCTCACTCCTATGCATATATTCACTGGAATTAAGTCCCATTCAACTGAGCAGGGCTTACTTCTGAATAGACTTACCCAGGACTATGCTGCATTCATTTTCCTATTTTATCTCTTGCGTAACAACTATTTAAAGAAGTGATCCATCCTTCCTAATGTCTCCCTAAGCAGGAAGTGGCCCTTCGCAGACTCAGGGCCAGCAAAACAAAGAACATTTTCACAAGATGTGTATCTTTATGCAATTCTGTAAGTTGATCCCACAGTGAATGAAGTTCGTGCACATGTTTTAAAATTTGTTGCCAGTCTCTTTTCGTGGCGTGACTCTTAATACTGGCTTTTGGATCTTCAGATCTGGTCCCCTCACATCCCAATTCAGTATTCTCGAGGTTCCACAGAGAGCCATGCCATCTTTTACTGGCCAGACTTCCTTCTCTGTGACCACAGATAATTTGGTTTTTTCCCAAACTTGGCATGTTTTCCCCTGCTTCCCGGTCTAAACAGTCAAAATGCTTCTTCTACTCCTTGCCTAATGGCAGTCTGGGCTTTGAGCTGAAATATACTGGTATTGTTGATATTTTGCCCCTACCCCTTCTAGAAGCCTCTGGCTCCACACACTGATAAGTGGGCCTCAGGAGCATCTTTAGTGTGGAATTTGGCCCTTCAATACCCCTGGTTTAAAGGGTGGGGGGGATCTCCAACTCGCCAATGTTTTTAAAAAAACTTTTTCTGAACAAAGCTTGAAACTAAGGAGGAAGGTTTGTGGGTATGCTTACTATTAACTTCCTAAACTTCCGAAAAGTGCTTGTTGATGAGGCCCCATTTTGTATTTAAACACTGTTGCCTTGGAGCTCAAAAACCAAATAGGCCATCGCATTCCCCCAAAGCATTTCAGTCTTCTCTCCAGAGGGGTCTTGCCCTGAGTCAAGATGAGCCCTCGTTAGCAGTGGATCTGCTGTGCTATCGATAACAGCAGCAGAATGGGAGACAACCAGATCTGGGCAATGGGGCCATAATCCTGGAGCCAAAAATCATTTTAGAGGCCCTTTTCCAGGTGCCAAATGAGGCGGGTGGCTATTAAGGGGATGCTTGCCCGATACCTACCTTTGGACACCAAGTGGAGACCCTTTTGTTTTCACAGTCATGGGCAAAAAATCCCATACAGCAGCTAGGAGACCAAAGGATTGTTTGCATCCCCAGCTCCAAGGTCAGACAATCACTCCAACCTCACATTGAGGACCCACACTGATGTTGCCCTCCCCCCTTCATAGTTGCCACAAAAAGAAGCTTCTTCTCCAATGTTGCAAAAGCAACCTCTGTGAAGGGCTATGTCCCAGGGTGTGGAAACTGGCACTGCCAAGCTATGCCGTATCTCAGTATTGCTTCAACCTCTTTTCCTCCTTCTCCAAATCACTACACTTAGCCAAAATCAGCTGTCTAGTTGTTTTGCAGAGTGGGAGTCATGGAGGTGACCTCTACACCTTTCCAACTACGTACAAGATGCCCATATCCTCCAAGTTCAGAGGGATACAGGCCTCCCCACAGAATTACACCCTTAGCTTTTAAAACTGGCATCAGTACATTTTAGGTCTTTGTACTGCTGCTGGTTTTTACTCTGGTTTTTACATTGGTTTTATCCTATTTTAAACCTAAGGTAGTTATACTGTTTTACTATGTTTGTGTTTTAATGTTTTACTATATCACTGTTTATTGTTTCAAGTTTTGCTTTGTGTACAACATAAAAATGTGGTAAATATATTCACTTGGGCATTTCTTTCTTCTGTACAAGTCACATACTGAAGTGAAGAGGATGCCCATACATTCTTATGTGACTGCTCTGCATTTCACAGGAGAACTTGCAAGTGGATTGTGACCCTGCTTAGGTAGTACGAAGGGGGTGCCATATGGATTTTCCACCTCAGGCAGTAACATATGTGGGCTTGTGCTGTTGCAGACTTTAAGACGAATTAGATTATTCCAATTCATAACATAATTAGATTAACATAAAGATGGTACACCTAAAAGGCCATCTTCCACAAAAACCTGTCAGACAATTCATGGGTGAAGTAACAAATCATGAATAACATAAAGCACAGTTTGACAATACAGACAGACACAGCTAGTGCCACAATCTGAGACTAGCTATAAACCATTTGTCCTTGCAGCTACACACAGCACCCCAATGAGGATCAACATTCAGTATGGAGGTGAAGCATGTTGCCCAGGGATTCTGGGCCTGCTTAACAGGTACAGTTTTCCTCAGCATGAAGGGTCAGCATTGTTCTAAACACTGCTAACAACATTAGAAAACAAGTTGCCACTTGCCCAAGAAATGAAGATACAAATGAAAATGTCCATCCATTGGCAACTTTTATTGGAGTTATTCTGTTTCACATAGCACAGAATCTCTTCAGAAGAAAAACACACATCAAAGAAACGAATCAGGACATGACAAACAGACCAGACGCTCTCCCAAGGGTCCTCAGCCAGATAGCTAAGAAGGCCTTTTTTTGCTTCTTCATAGTAGAGTCAAGCAAACTAGAGAGAAGGGGGTTAGAGCAAAGATGTCGATTTTCTCACTAACAAATAACGCAATGAACAATTAATTTTCAAGGTGCACCAAATATCTTCACTTTTGTGGAACATTCATTCCCCACAACTTTGTGGGCAGGGGAAGGTATTTGGTGACTTTCTAGAGGGCAGATGAATTTAAAGAATGTTCATGGGTCCTACATTTTTAAAGATGGGGGGCCCAAGGTTTTTCTTCTTTTTTGAACCAACAAAAGAAGTATTTCTGATGCCTTGAGCAACAGCTTGGTTGCTCCTGGCTATGGTGCATTCCTGGGGCATTCTGCAGGTAGAGCTCTTCAAATCTAGTTCTTTAAATTTGTCTGCCTCTGAACATAAATACTATCTTTGGGGTATTTTTTGCCACCAAAACTTAAAAAATTTAGCCCAGTATTAGTTTTTTAAAAGAAAAATTAGTGGTCAGAAGAAAGGGGTGATTGTACAGAAAAAGGGACAGCAATCAAGGAATCTGTTCACAAAAGCATTTAACATGTGATAGATATTCCTTAATGCACTTATCCACTTTATTCATTTTGTAAGCAGCACTATAAATAGTGGCAAATGATGGACTACTCTAAATCTTTCAAAGACATTTGTAATGGAGGTTCTAATCTATCTGAGCCATTGTGAAAATCTTTTGTGTTAGCTAATAATGGCATAAAAGACATAAAATAGAGAACTGGAAGTGCACTCCCATAAGCATGCATTGTAAGAATGTGGAACAAGTCACCCCGACTTTAACCATGCTGATTGTGAGAACAAGAAAGTGTACAACATGTTAAGTGTCAATGTATTACGACAACCTGAAAATGTAAGTTCAATAGTTCTACTGAACATAAAGAGCAGCCCTGCTAGTTCAGACCCAAAATTCCAACTAGTCCAATATCCTTTTTTTGATAATGGCCAGCCAAATATTTCTAGGAAACTTTCAAGCAGGACTTCAAGGCAACTGCCCCCCAACCCATTCCCCCCTCCCCAAAACTCGTGTTTAATGGCATCCTGCCTCAGAAAACATGTGCCTTTTAGCTATCATGGCTAATACCCATCAATAGACCCTGTACCGACTTACGGTATCAACAGTAAGAACAGGACCAGCTTATTTTAGTGCATGTGAATGGTTTTTGTACCCCTGAGCAATATACTCTGGAGTCTATGATTTATGGTTGTAGGAATACAATCCCTTTCTATGAATTCATAATTGCCCACAGGATCTGAGCCACTGGTGGTTCTATAATTTTTTGGTGGAATGTATGTGTTAACTAAACTTACAAGGAGGGGCCAGGGCTTAAAATGGTGACAAAGCTGCAACATCTATCCATGTCATCCTGATATTTATATTCTGAGAAATATCTTTTTCAGGTGACTGAGGAAAGATGATGCTGATAGACGCCATGAGAATGAATATACTTCGACCTTGCCTAAGGCTACTTAATGAGTTCATTCAAGGCAAAGCCACGGCCTGGCTGCTCAGCCACCATGCTACATGGCTCCAGTGGGTGCGAAGGATCTTGGCAGAGGCAACATGCTTTCACTGCCAGTGCTTCCCCATCATTTCCCGTTACTCCTTGAGGTTTGGGGTTTGTTTGGTTTGTCAAAGATCGTGAGGCTTCAGGGTAAGGGGGGGAATCTGGATAATATTGGAGCCCTTAGGATATGGTAGGCTACAGATTTTTAAAAAATGAAATCATAAAAAGAATTCCTTTCCATTACTCAATTCCCTCGATCCCCAACATTTTTTTTTTTTTTGCTTGTTATCATACCTGCTTCTCATCATCTCTGAGGTAGATTTCACAAAGAGAAATGGAAGAAAGGTGATGAGTTGGAAGAGATGCATTTTCAGCCCTGTTTCAAAGAATTTGGCTTGCTTTCCCATCAGAAAATCCCCTAATAATTAGTTAACTAATGTGACATGTGGATGGAGTTTTTCCGTGGCTAATTTTCTAAGATGATGTTAGGGAAGATTTGGGCAAGATGGCTGTCAAGTGGAGGCCTCTTCAAATAGCTCTACTTAGTGAGCTGGCCGTGCATATGCAGAGACCTACTGCATTTCCCATACTCTCTACTTTTGATTTGGGACCATTTGCAGAGGGGTTGCGAAAATGGCTCAACTTTTGCAGTAAGCCTCTACATACAACTAATCTACACTGTGAGGATAACTTAGTAGCATAGCATTAAAGTACACCACTCGATGTGGCAACTGTGAGATGTATAACAGCCCTTCATTATAGAAGTTATGGGTGAATAACACGAAATGGGGCAGGGGAGGGGCTTAATCTGCTGTGAGGTAAACCAAAGGAATTGCTTTATGCTGATTTGGTGCTCCATTAAAGGGCAGCAGAGTGGGAGAAAGGCAAACCATATACAACAAGGAATTCTCCTGTTCTCAATTAATCACAATAACTGGGAGATGCACCCCTAAGTTCTGTTTACAGTTACTTACAATAGAAGCGGAACAGGGTTCAGCTGCTGAACTTGGGTTCTGAGGAGGCTGCAGGAGAAAGTAGTAGCAGGGAAATGGAGAATAACCTGAAGAACTGTCCAAGGGCTCAGCATACAAGACATCTATCTCTCACTTACCCACTGAGCTTGAACCTTCCAACTGGGACAAGCAGGAAAAGATGGACTACAGACTAAGAATTTGGGTTGCAAGGAGGAAAAGATTGATATCTATGAATTCTAGTCAGTATAAACTTCCTGTTCCTTCTCTTCTACTGCAAGGGTGGTGAAACTTTTGCAGCTCAAGCAAGGAGCTTTCAGGAGCTGCCGTAAACAAGTGGGCCCTCAAATCCAGTACACTGTAGCTTAAGTCTCTTGCTGCTAGTCTCTAAGCATTTCAACCTTTTAGTACAGGGGAGAGGCATTTCAGCCTTTTAGAATGGGGGAAAGTGCACACAAGCCAGGAAACCACCTGTCAATTAGCACTCATAGGAGGTGCATAAGGCCATCTGGGGACCCCGCATGGGCCAGACTGGGACCTCAAGCCTGAGATTTCTCACGGTTTTTGTGCATTCTAAAGGAAGCCAGGCTGGCTTCAGCTTTTCAGGGAAGCCCTTGGCAGCCCTCCTTCGGAATACCCTATAACTGTCCCGAGGCAGAAGGGCAGAAGAATAGCCAGTGAGGGGTTTACAGAGTATACCACCTAAAATAACATCCCAGATCAGTTCCTCACCACCAGAGACCCAGCTGTGTTTTCTGTTGGTGTGCCGAATGGTCAAGGTGAAGAGCCTAGTTTCAAATAAGCACTGGGTGGTGGTTCTGGCTCTCCGCAGGAAGACTCCTTAATATACCCTTCCCCACACCTAGCACCCACTAATGCCTTAGACAGCAATTCTCATTGTCCCCAGCAACATGGTGCTTGGCCGGTGGAAGTTGCAGTCTAAGACAATTGGAGAACAGCAGGTTGGGCCTGCTGCTTAATGGATCTAAGCTAAAGCAAGTATCCAACCTTCTTGGTTCCTGCTGCCAGCCATGCCAACTGGAGTCTTTTTTTAATATGCCATAATCTAGCCTGGTGGCTTCACTCTAAAATTGGCTTTGGATCTCAGAAGGGATCATTTTGAACTTGGTGACTGAACGTATTAGAAACTTTATATATAAGGAGAACAAACAACTTGCGAGGAACAAGGCCTGAGACCAGCTGAGACCCCATAATATCTGGCCTATGTTCAATTTTCATTGGTAGAAGGGGCTGTATTCCTCTTAACAGGGAGAAACTAGAATCTCTGAGACTGGAAATAATTTTTGCCAGGGGAAATACAGCCAGAGAAAGTAGGTGTTAAATATCAGAAGGAAGTAGCAGGTAAAGCTACTACCAGCTACTTTCCCATGTGAAAGTATCCATCTTTCACATGGGAAAGTATCCATCCACCTATCCATCCACTGGTTTTATAGTGATTTGCCATTCCATTTACAAGTTAAATTTACATTTGAGGACAGGAGTCTGCTGCCACTGCATCTAGTTCTACTGTCAGTACAGGCAGGACTCATTAAGGAACAAGCCAATCCAGATGCTCATAACCTCCAAACTCAGAGGTTTACAGGCATCCTATGCAGGGTAATTCTGGCTAAGTGTCATGGCTTGGAACACGATGGGATGAGGCTGATGCACCACTTGAGTACTTCATATGGTAGTGATACTAGTTGCCCTCCCCTCCTCACCCCCCAGAATGCCCCCAAACCCATCTCTGAGGTTACTTTTTCAAGCCAGTTCTTTCCACACCAGCTGCAAGGCTGGTGGTGGGTGAGGAGGAGCTTCAAGCCCAGAGGCCCAGCTAGAAGGTCACAGTGCCTTTTCAACCTCATTGCTGGAGCTCTGAAAAATCCTATGGTCATCTTGATTCTGTGATATGACCACAGGATCACACTGTTAATAATAATTATTATGCTAATAAATGAAATGGAAAATGAACTTTGAATGAAAGAGGGGAAATGTAGTAATTCACATTCTTGAAAAGAGAAACATCACAGTTAAGATAAGGAAGGAAGTGGCATGCTAATAGTTTCAAATCTGAAAAAACAAGACTCTAATTGGTTTACAGGGATAACGGGATTGGAATAAAATAAAAGATCTTTCAGTTCTATGGGATTTTCTACATAGGGCTTCTGCTTCGGCATTCTTTGTGAGATAGAGTCCTCTACACGTTTTTTCAGGGTTTTTCTTTCTCTGGTTTTATGCCCCATGAAATAACCGCTAGGTGGTGCCATGGTACAGCAGGATTGTGCAAATATATGAAGGTTTCATGCCACCTTTCCCAGAAATACCAGACTTTCCTCATTAGGAAAAAAGGCTATGGTGGTTGCAAAGAATTAGAGAAACCCTGGAAAATGACAACATCATGTAAAGTACCCACAGACTGTCGTGAGGAGCCATGAGTGCACAAGGAAGTGCCTCATGTAGAAAGGTTTAAAGTCTCATTTTCTAATTCCAATCTCCTCTTAGTTCCCACATGGATTAGATTGGGATCTACAAGGTCCCATATCTATTTGCCATTTGGCATCCTGAGGTCCTTGGGATAAGGCAGGCTACAAATCTCAACACATACATTTGTTAATAAAGATCTTGGTGATAGGAAGACAGTTGCCTCGAGGAGAAATTCCATGCAGCTTCTTTCTTTTGTTCTTTTTTTCTAAACCAAGCCTTGATGTATGGTCAGGCTGTCTGAAGAGACAGTTCACACAATATGGAGGCACCACACATCCGGAAACAAGAGGTCAACCAGAACGTGCCTGTTGTTTTAGATCAGTATAGCAAAATATATGCTTGATAAGGCCAGAGAATGAGAGAGAGAATATGAAAGAGAAACAGTGAATGTCAGATACTGGAAAGGTGTTAACATTTATGCTGTTGTCCAAACAGTGCCAACATGCTATCAATGCAGGAGAATAATGAGGCAGAATGTAGCGAGTACAATTTTTGCTATATGGGAATTATCTAAAGCAAGGTGAGAAGTTGTTTATGAGAAAGGTGGAAAACAGTCGCCAAAAAGAGAACACAGACAAACACGTGGGGATGGAGCTTTACCCAAGTCAGAGGTCCACAGTTTCTCCAGCAAAACTTGCAAGAAACCAGCACAGAAGAGAGGGGGAGCTCCTGTTCTTTTGTGGGGGAGGGGGGAAGCTTTGTGTGTTATAATGTCCAGTGCAATAATATAAGAATGTCCATGCTACACCTCTGGAAGCTGGTTCTATTTCTCAGCAGCATCATTAAAAGTGGGCTTTTAATGTAAAAGACCAAGATGAAGACACTTGGACCAGCATCTGGAGGCCAAGGCTTTCTATGTCCAATCAATGACCAACCCAAATGCCCTTCTCAGGAGCTGAAAAGGTGGGGAGATTTGACCCACTCAGATACTCCTGTACAAGATGGGGGGAAAATGAAACCATCTGATTTCTTACACCTGAGTGACAGGTGACACCCTCAGACTGGAGTTCATCTGTCCATTCCCCTGCCCTTATCCCAAACACACAATCTTGGGTGATTTCTCACTCATCCTACCCTGAGATCTTCCAGACATACCAAAACTGAACCATGTGGACAAGGCTCCCCAAGAAGGCAATTTCAGTTCTGAGCATTCAGATGAGATGAAAATTGTGCCTTGCTAAGGGTGGTCCAAGGATATTTCTTGCCCCCTCATCCACCTCCATAGCCAGTTCAAGCACTGAAGAAATATTGCAGGCCCTACTCATAATGAGCAGGGAGGAGAGGAAACCCACTTTACAGACCAGACAAAGAGAAGAGGACAAGGGAGAGGCTCTTCACGGTTCAGTCTCCCGGAGACTTGGAGGTATTTTAGAGAGAGCCCCTGTTGCGCCACCACTTTTCATGCAGCATCCAAGGGTTGGGTAGGGCGAAGTGGACAGGTCTCATTTAGGAAGCCAGAAGAGGAAGGACGGTGGTGCAGACCTCAGATCTTACTGTTCTCCAGGTGTGAATCAATGTGTTTTATCAAAGCATCATCTGGGTAACCAATGGGAAAGGCCACCTGGCAGAGAGGGCAGCTTCGGATGTCAGAGTCCACCGTCTCCATCAGCAACTAAGGGATACAGGATTGGTAAAGGAAGCCAAATTAGAGAAAGGTGTCACTTTTTAAAATACCCCCCTGCACCCAATATATATGATCTGTTAATTAAATTAGTATCCTGAAAAGCAAATCCATCAGGCTCAACTTGGCCAGTTGCAAAAATCACTGAATGGATGTAAAAACTGTTTAGTTGCTAAAATGGATTGGCTTCTCTCACAGAAAAGGGGCCACAGTAACAGGGCAGGCACAGGATTAGTCACTTTGAATGGTGCTATTTCATATAATATGGTGGGGGTCCAAAAGTATACTATAGAGGCATTGCTGCCAAATGTAGCAATTACTTGTAAATTTAGATCTAAAAGGTTTAATTTCAAAACAGAATATATGCACTTAAAACATGTTGGGAATAAAAATATTTTGATTATCTGACTGTTACAAAATCAAATTATTTTAATTCTTTATTTTAATTCTTAACTCTTGTTTCAAAGTCATACATAAAACAAAGTAGATGTGTTGGCCATAAGAAAAATGCCAGCATCTATACAGTTTAACATTTATTAGGCCAATTTAAAGATCACAAAAAACATGCTTTTGAGATCTTCAGGTCTGTTCCTCAAACAAAATGTTATTAAAAACAGGTTCCTTGTTTAGTAAAACTTGTCTGATTCACCCAGGTTTTGCACTAAAAGCTGGATTTTATATTTTCAAAAATTGCCTGCTACTTTCTTGTTCCCCCATGATTCTAGGTGCACTGAAAGTAAAACCATCATATCTCTTGGCAGAATACAATACGCATGTCTGCAAACCCTCCGCCTCTGTATCCTCGTAATACTTCAACCCCTTTGGGCATTTGCCTGAAAGAGTGAGAATTAAAGTAGGCAGAGGGTCAGGTACACATTCCCTCACTTGAGGAATAATCCTATGCAAGTTTTGGGGAAAAAAGCTCCAAAAAAGACCTGGCTGAGGCATGCTGGGAGTGGTAGGGTTTTTTCTGATTAAACATACATAGGACTGTACCTTTAATATAAATGATCAAAATATGACCTTAATCCAGGGCTTGCACTATAGTATTCACATGCATATGAACACTCAAGCATACAAGGTAAATAAAAATGGCAGAGCCAGCAAAAGGACAGCATTTTCAAACAGGACCATGTGAAGATGCAGATAACAGGGAATTATAGTATGTCATAAACTCAGACAAGGAGCCAGAATAGCACCACGTCAGGCTATATTTTAAGGGATACTGCAACAATTTTGAAGCAAGCTCTGAAGCCAGGGTGGGGGACAAAGTGGGATATTCATCTAGAAGTCTGAGGGTTGTCTTGTTCAGAGTGAATTTTAATAGCCAGAGTTTAATAGGGACAATTTTAATTTCTTTTTTTATTTAATAGATATTTACCTCATTGGTTTTACAAAACTGTTGCTCAATGTACAGTTACCTGCCCTGAACTTAAAAATAATTCAAAATATGGCTCTCTGGCAAAATCAGCAAGGTTTTGCCTATAGATCATTCCAAGATGGCTGCTTGACCACATAAATATCAGGCCTCAAAAACATCAATCTTTCTCTACCTTGATTCAACCTTTCTTCTCTGACATTAAAATGCTCAGCATCTAAATACTCATTCTAGAATCCTCTGAAAGTCTTGCCAAGTCCTGGCTTGTAAGTCAAGCAAATTTAGGCAATGGAAGAGTATTTGTGCCAATGCCCATAAGTGATGCTGGCCACTGCCTTTGAACTGGGGCGAAGGAGCAACGCAGAATGTACACGGCATTGGATGGTGCTTACATTGATTGAGGGCCAGGACTGGGCATGTTCAGCCCTGCAGTACGAGGCATCAGTCCGGTGCATGGAGGTGTCGGGGATGGGGAACCCTGCACAGAAAGAGGCGCAGCGGATGCCCCCTGCTTCAGGGCTGGGGGGACTTGGGAGGGCCCAGTCGTCTTCATCCGAGGACTGCTTCTCAAAGCGCAAGTGCTCTTCGAAGGCGTCTCTAGCGTAAACCTCGCCGTAGGGACGGTGCTTTGGTAAGGTGGACGCTTCCGGCTGCAGCCAGAGAGAGCGGTTCTGCTGGTACAGAGCCGCATCGCTCACCTCCGAGTAGCTCCGGCGGCCCTGGAAGCTTGCTTTGATGTGGTGGCTCGTGGGTTTGGAGTAGCCCAGATCCATCATGCTCCTCTCACCGCCTGGAGACCTGTGTTGCGAGCTGATGGCTGGAGATGAACAGTTTGGGGCTGGTGAGCAGCGCTGCTGGGCAGGAGATTGGCTGGGTGGTGGGGCTGGGGAACGGCGCTGTGAGACAGGAGACTGGCAGGGAGGTGGGGCCGGGGAACGACGCTGATGTGCGGGCGACTGACAAGGCGGTGCTGGGGAGCGTCTCTGGAGGGCTGGAGACTGGCACTGAGGGACAGGAGGTCTCCCTTGCTGGGCTGGGGAGGTACATTGAGGAGCAGGAGAGCGCCGTTGCTGGGCGGGAGAATGGCGCTGGGAATGGGGAGAATGGCGCTGACCTGGAACGGAGTGGGAGCAAGCAGGAGAAGAATCATACGTTAGAAGGAACAGATCTCTTGAGGCAGCAAGATTCGCAGACACAGACACGAGCACACACAAAGCAACACCTGTCTGTCTTCTACACGTTGCCTGGGCAGGAAAAGAACGCCAAACCCTCTTCACCTGTTCTGTGATATTGAGAGGCTGCTTGAACCCTTATGGCCAGAAAAAGCTGTACTTCCATCTGTAGTTACTTCTATCCTGCTTTAACATGGGCTTATAAGTTGTATGTAGCAAAAGCAACACTGGTTTATGCACTGACTCATTCTCACAGCAGCAGAGGACACGCACTCATTAAAGGGTGGTCTGCTGACATAATAGGTGCAGAGGGCAAAAAGGAGTCTCTGAAATCCTGTGAAGTTTGCTTTGCTCAGGATCAGAATTATCAAATTGATTTGATTAATGAAGAAGGACAGGGTGAAATACGTATATTTAAGAGCAGATTGCACTTCCTTTGGTCTTTTCAGTACGTTTTTCAATTGCCCTACACACATGCACACACGTGTGTGCACGCACACACACAAAGTCCTGTCACACTTTTAAGAAGTGCACATTATCCACAGTCATAACTTTATGCCCAACAGTCAATTTTCCTTTGTACTGCTAACAAATCCTGCATATACCCAGCGTTCTCCATTTCCCTTGTGCCACTCACCACCATTGATGGCCTGCTCTTGCATAAATGTCCGGAGAATCTGGCTTTGGAGGGAACTCAGTTTCCTCAGGTGGCATAACTCCTCGGTCAGCTCTGTGTAGGCAAGAGCCAGGTTTACCCTAACAAAAGAAATGGGGAGAGCCCCAAAAACATATAGGTTGCAGTCTTTGTAATTAGCAGACAGTTGATTAGAAGGGTGAAAAATGAGCTGGTTTAATTCAGAAATTCTACAAGCAGCTGGATTGATGAGGGCAGTGTTTGTCAATCTTGGACTACAACTTTCATACTTTGGGGGCAATGATGGGAGTTGTAGTCTAATTTGGAGAGTACCAGGCTGGGAGGTTGGACCAGGGCAGTTAGGAAGTTCATATTGACTGAATGGCAGTCTATCAGTAATTCTTTTTGTGGGAGGAGAGGGTGGGCTTGTAATAAAATCCATCAGAAGGGAAAGCCATACTGCCTTTCAGTGTGTAACAAGGTTAAAAGAAGCACTGTGAAATGACCTGTCCTTTTCCATATATAAAAGCTCTAAGCCTGTATTTTCATGCAAGTTAGATAAGGCACACTGAAAATACATGAGTGGTTGTGTGGTACCTCTGAAGAATCAAAACAAAAGGATGCTTTTCAACTGTCTTGCCTCACAGGTTTGGAGGTGCAAGCACACTAACTATCATACCACCCCAGAGTAGTAAAAATAGAGCAATAAACAATTATAAAAGATATATTTAATGGTGCTATGCTAAAGTACCATTTTGTTATCTTTTCACGATACTCCAAACCTGGATTGAGGAAGACTTTGCGATACCGTGATTAAAAGTTAGCAAAATATCTAATTTTGTCTAATGGTAGGACTAATTCTTTAGGCTTTTTGAGATGGAATCATGCAACTCCCTGAAATCCAGTCTGCAAGGACCCACAGCTCACTGGCTAAACATCTGTTTTGCTTGCCAAAGACCACCAAGTTCAACCTCCAAAGTTCTAGATAAAACAATCCCAGATAATTGTATTGGGAAAGATCTTTGCCCAGAGTTCTTAGAATACTGCTGCCAGTCACAGCAGCTAAATGGACCACAAGTCTTGCTCAGTCTAGGCAGCAATACCTGACCAAAGAGGTATGATCAAAAAGGTATATTTGTAAGCCACCCAAGAGCTTTGGCTGTTGGATGGTATTGAAAAAAATCAAACATAGAAAGGAATAGAAAAACCAGGAACAGGGTTTACTACTTCATCTGCTGTTTGTGTCAACTAAGTCATTATGTGATTGCTTTGTATACAAACATGACTGGGTTCCATTTATGTGGAAAGAAACCACCCAGACATGGCCCAGACATGTAATTCTTCCAACTGTAGATATGCATGAAGAAAAGAAACAAATTTGATACAGACACAAAATGAGATTTGGGATGCAGTTTGGATAATTTTGACAAACTCATCCTGAGGTCCACCAACTGAAACTAGACAAGAAAATGTGGCTCAGGGTACCAGTTTAGTTACCTACTAGCCTAGGAACCAGTTACTCTATGAACTAGCCTTCCCCAAACTGGTAACATTCAAGCTAATGAGAAAAACTCAAGGATGATCTGCTATGAAAGTCATAGCAACTTCAATCAGATGTGGTGGAAGGCAAACCAAAAACTGAGCAGATCACAAAGGAAAGGCACTAGGGGCTTGGCAAAAAAGGATAGGTTTCCTTCTCTTGTGTTTGGTTTTTTTGGGTTATTTTAAAGACAGCTTCCTGTCTAAATTTTTCGTATCTTTGTCTAATCATTTTCAATTGGTCAATGTTAAAATTCTCAATCCTTATTCCTGAGTTACGCTCAAACCAGAAATGAAGCCATATGATTCAGAGCAGGGCTTCCTGCTCACATTCAGGTATGGCATTGCTAAGAGAAGGATGCAAAAGTCCAGCCCTGTGAACACAATAATGTTAGCACAAAGAGACGATGTGAAACTCTTCCTTCCTTGAGGGGCTGACCCACTGCCCATCAACGCCCTGACAAAATCATCAACTCTCACAAAAGTCTTGCCCTGAACTTCCATGTCACCTTCAAATAACATATTGAGTACGTTTATGAGAATGGAGAACCTGTCTGATGAGGTTACCAAAGGCATGTCACCAGGAGGACATCTTACACTAAGAAAGCCATCGAGTTAAGCTGAATAGCTGTGACAAGAGGGGGGGAAGATACAGGAGACGGGGTGTACCTAACTCCAACAGACAGCTACTCCCTTTCCTACCCCCTTGTTGCCAATTGTCTCTTCAATGTTCCTGAGGGGCTAAAAAAAGGTTGATTCAGTTCTGCCAAAGGAAAATTAGATTTTATTTTTTTTCACTCTCGAGTTTAAAACAGAATGAGAAAATCCCCTCTGAAGGTGCGATAGTTTCTCCCAATGTTTGGACGCTTTGGTTGAGGAGTTTTGATAGGCTACGAAGCAAAATGTCTTGAAATATCTGATTATGAATGACTGTTGTTGCCTGACAAGCAGTGATGCACATGAGACAATGCACATGAAAACAAAAATAAATAAGAGCAGCTCCCAACTGGGGCTGGGGATGTATTCTATTAATACAGACAGCTTGTCTATCTTTAAACAGCCTTCCCCAACCTGGCATGCTCCAGAAGTTTTGGATTACAACTTTCAGCATTCCTGATCATTAGCCATGCAAGGTGGGGATGATCGTAGGCAAAGTCCTAAACATCTAGAGGGTACCAGGTTGGGGATAGCGGATCCAGAGTCACCTTTGTAACTATAGCAAGGGGTCTGCTTCTGTCAGCTTTAGAGCTTGCTACCCTCTCTTCTCCCTTCAAGCCCAACCTCCACATTTTATTTATTTAACCAATATCTGCTACTTCCACCCAATCTGGGGCTCCAGACAGGCAATGACCATGCTGATTGGGAATGATGGGAATTGCAGTCCAACACACCTGGAAGTTTGGAGAAGAGTGGTTTAGCAAAATTCCAAGCATCTTAAGGATACAAAATATCAAGGGTCCATAAATGTATGTATCACAAATGCATGTGCATCTTTCACTCTAGGGAGAGTCCCCACCTCTCTCCTGCGCCTAGAGCAAGGCGGGGACTCTCCCTCACAGTCCTGACTTTAGAGACATTTAAAAGGTACCTTCCTTTTAGTTCCTATTTGTCTCTCATATCCTTCTTTGGAAACTGGACAAGGATCAATCCACAGCTCCCCATCTTTGTACCAACTTCAGAAGTGCCAGGGCAGTGCAGCTAGACTGGCACCAATGGAAACTTTTCTGCCAGCTTTGGAAGACAGATTTTTATTAGGTACTCTGCAAAGTAAGAAAGGGTTCAGTCCTCCTTTCCTCACATGCTACAATTCTGATTATTATTCTCCCCTCCCCAAGCCTGTTGCTACTTGCTTTTTTTTAAAAAAAGTACACTATAAATGCAAGGATTAATTTAATGGGATGTTTATTTGGCTCTGAGATGTACCATGTCAGAGAAATTTCCTCTCCCCAGGTAAATTGGTCAGTGTGGAGGCAGGCGCCCAACAGCGCTGGCCAGTCATGCCATGCCTGGAGCTCAGACAGGACTCCCTTCCCCTTCCTCATGGGTGTGGGAAGGGCAGGGTTATGACACACATTTAGCTGTTCAGGTCAACCAGAATGAGTGACCTCTATAAAACAGGCCATATTAGACTACAGCACAATGCTGTTGTCAACTCCCCATGGATTCTCATGCCAGCCCAGAACCCTGCCCATACACCCACCAGGCTATTCTAATGCTGGTTTACTGCAACACCCATGGCACAAGGTTTCTTTTGATGAGTGCCTGCACATTTTTAGCTGGTGCCAAATGCTGCTGTAAGAAGCCTTGCTGTGTCAGCAGTACTTGAAAATGTGCTGTTTGTTGGCACAATTCAAGATGTTGCTTACTGGCTTAGGGTCCCAATATCTAAACTTGTAGGGGTAAACAACTCTGGCATGCAATTCCCTTCATCCACTGCCATTGGCTGTAGTGCCTGAGGCAAGGTTGAAACAGCTGGAAAGCCACAAGCTATTCACCCTTGATCAAAAGCACTATTGTTCCTCTCCTCTCTGGATCTGCCCAGTCTCTTAAACTGGATTAATGTGGGTACAGGAGAGGTGCAGTTAGGTAATTTCAGATTCTGGACTCTATGGTCTTACAGGGCTCCCCTGCTTAGCTGGTAAACAAACAGAGATAATTAATGTGCTTCAAAATTGGGAAATCCAGCCCTGCTATGCTTGGGGACTTTTCCTGCTCATTCTGCTGAATGAAGCCTTGCATATCTCCTGCCAAGTCCTTCCCTGAAAGTCCCCCTCCCCATTGTGGCACCCTGATGTCTCTACCACAAGAGACTGTTTCTCCCCACCATCTGTTCTACCATCACCTTAAGACACTGTTTTCCAGGCAAACTTTCTGTTTATCTGTGGCACAGTAGAATCTTTCAATTTAGTTTTGGTTGTTCCCAATTATGGTGTTTTGTGTTAAAAATGCTATATGTATATTTTACATAAATTCAACAAGTGCATTTTCCCCCATCATGGAACCATAGACATATAAAACCTTCATGTGTTCAGATTTCTCTGCACTGTGCAGTAATTACACAACCAGAAATTTTGGTCAGAAAAGAAGCAGGTAAAGCTAAAGCAGTGCTACCGTGCAAGTCCGCCTAAATGATGGATCCTAGGGAAATACGTTTCTTGCCCGCATGGTTACAGGACAAAGAAAAAAAATATTCGACACCTATTTCATACTTAAGAGAGTGGAACTGCTACTACAAATGTGGTTTCATAGTCCCAACTGCAACCACCAGAAGTTAGCACCGAATACAACTGTGTGGTCTAGCTACATGCTTGGTTAAGCTTCAGTTCACCTAGAAACTGATGAAACCACAAACTTTGTATTTCTAGGCCCCAATCCAGAGAAAAATGGGTACAGAATAGGCTGCATGTATACTGTTTATGACACAGCAACCCACATTGGGTTGTCAACCTTGTTTGTTTCAGAATTGCTTGTTAGGCCATCCAAACCTGACATTGTTTCCTTTGTGTGGTTTGTTAACCACACACAAGCTGTTCTGAGAACCTATGGCCTGTTGCTGGGTCTGAACTCCAAACCCAGAAGAGTA